TTCTGTATAGAACTTTCCCCACCTTCCCCTGGCCTCCCCCTTTAAAAAACAATCACTCTGATTTCAGGGATTATTTTTGTGTTTTTAATATTGTCATTATTCCCTTTGATTATTAGATTACCCCACATTTAGCCAGTGGGAGCCCTTCCAAAGTCTGCTACTATGTCCTTTTGACGTGACCCCATTGGTCTGTAAGTAATTTCTTAACTCTCTGGCACAAAAAGATGTTCGAGACTTGTACTTTCCTTGCTCCAGTACTGAAATCAGTCACTTACCCAAGGAACCCTGGTTCTCATGTTAGAAAATGGTGTTTAGATAGCAGGGAGTGGGCTCAAGGTGTGGTAAGTGTGTGTAGCTCTTTATTGCCGTTTTGTAGAATATATTTATACCTTTGTGGGTGAGAAAACCAGTGAGATAGAGTTCTATGTTTAATGCATGGTCTTGTTAACTTGACACTATTGTCAGAAACATTCAAAATAGCTTTAATAGTCTGCTGACTGTAATTTAGTGTTTGTTTTATAAATTTATGATCCAAACCTTTATATAAATGCATAGTACTAACATTTGTTAACTGTTTACCATGTCATCATCTCTGTGCTACACATGTAACATTTTATATTCAGAGAGAGTTAATCATTCCTGTTGTACAGATAATAAAGGTTATGTGATTACTGATAGAGGCGTAATTTGAATCCAAGGCTGTCTCCAGGTTCCCAGGTTTTTAACCACACTGTCTTCAGCCTAACATTGTTTTGTAGAGGATTCTTCACCATAAGTTTTTATTATGTAGACCTGTAGCTGCAGAACATATGTATCTTGAAATTGAATCTGTACTGTCCTTAGGATCCACCGTGAGAGATTTATCATTGTTAAAATTCCAGGGATGGACTTCCTTTCCAAGTAACAAAGATAATGAGTAAAATATCTTGGTTAATGAGTGTTTTAGATAATTGATGTTGTATTGAAAGTAGTGTGTGACAAATTAAGCATATCATAGATAAGAAATTTGTTATTTGTAGAGTTGAAGAAACAAAAAGCCTTCCAGTTTGAGTTTTCTAAGTTTTGTTTGGGTTTCTAAGCCTGTGTAGAATGGCCGTCAGCGGAATTGAAAGGTGGGATTATTCTAGGAGCAGCCCACTGGTTGGCACAAAATTGAGGAAGGCGTGACCTCTTAATTTTAAGTGTATACATAAAAGGGTCATTAATTCCTCATACAGAGCTGCAAATAGGAATTAATATATCGTTTAAAAATGATATTGAAAACCAGTAGAATGTACCTACAATGAATGCATTAGGTATGGATTGTTTGAAGAGTGTAAAAAGATTGCTGCCTTCTTGTATGATGGCAGTGTTACCACCCACCTCAGTTTGCTCATGTTCATTCACATAACTGGCTTGGAGAGTATGGTTGATCTGTTTTCCGAAATACTGAGTCATCACTACTGCCTCATCATTTTTTGCCCAAGTGGAACCCATTATTTTATTACCTAATCCAGAGCTGATATTTGTTCTTCTCATAGCCTTGGTTAATTTCTGCAGTATATTATTTTAGTTACAGAACAGGTGGCACATTCTGGTGTTGCTGATCTGGAATGTCATGACTTACCTCTTTCAGACTCAGTAGAGCAGCTTTCAAGTACTGTAGATTAATTCCTCCTTGAATCTAGCATTTACATTTTTTACTACCAAGAAATATCTGTGAGACTTTTAGCCTGTCTCTGTCAAGTTTGTTTGTTTCTCCTTTCTCTGTCAGCTTTTATTGATCTGCAGCACACCACGCCTAGTAATAATACCTCAAGCCTGTCTCAGAGGTAATTGGTACAAAAACTATGCAAGAAACCAGAGCATGTGGCTGGTTCAGTCGTTAAGAGCATGACAGGATGATCAGTACTCAACTTAAGACGCAAAGGACACCTTCTATAGGTTTCCAGAACATAATTTATTTCTGTGTAACAGTCTTGTGTTCTGCAAACTCTAGCCACTTTGTTGTCCCTAGACTGCCAGCTCCTTCTCCACAACTAAAGATACAAGCAGACGGTAAGGTATCATCATTATATGAATCATTTCGTTTGTCCTCTGTCAGATGTTAAAGTCTTTTGTTTCCTGATGTCTTACCTCATGAAAAATGTATATCGTATATTCATTTTGATCTTTAGTTCTTTACGGTGGAAGATAAGTCCAATTCCCCTTTAGTCTATGTTGACCTAAAGTTGAAGTCCCAACAGTTGGTCAGTAGGAGATGTCCTGAAATGCCCCTGATCGCTGCACACCTAAAAGTGGTAGGCCTTTGCCTCCTCATAGAATTTATTGCCCACTTTCTGGAGTATTAACATGTTATAAAGACTCCAGGGTACCAGCCTCCTCATGGTTATTCTCTTGTTCATTCTGTCCATTCAGCAAGATATCATCTCTGTAATGGGTCAGAAGGTCTAGATGTTTTCAGACTGTATTATGGTAGAGAATTAGAGAGTTAAAATAGTCCTAAGGAAAAACCGTAAGTTAATGTTGTCCCACATGAATGCAAAGTGTTTCTGATGATTTTTTGTTATTTATTTATTTATTTATTTATTTATTATTATTTTTTAATGTTTATTTATTTTTGGGAGAGAAAGAGAGTGTGAGCCGGGGAGGGGCAGAGAGAGAGGGAGACACAGAATCTGAAGCAGGCTCCAGGCTCTGAGCTGTCAGCACAGAGCCCGACACGGGGCTCAAACCCACAAACCATGAGATCATGACCTGAGCTGAAGTCAGACGCTTAACCGACTGAACCACCCAGGCACCCCAAGTTTTTGTAATTTAAATGGAAAAGAATATAGTCACCAAATCAATACCCGAGGCTTAATAAGTTCTAACAACTATGTTATGTTGAGAATATTGGTTGGCATTTGGTTAAGTCTCTGGCAGTATCCAGTCATTTTTTAAATATACATCTTTTTTGTGAAGATGATAATATGAGATAGACCCCCACCCCAAATACTCTAAGTCTTTACTGATGGCACTAGTCTTTGCTGTCCTTTGCCTCTCTGGAAGCAATATTGTCATTTATTTACTATCTTGTTCTGGAGAATGGGCAATTTCAGAGGTTTCCTGTTGGCTTTTTGCACTGTGACTGCTTATACCACATAGGTCCTGGACCCATTGTGGGGATTATTCTAACTAACAAGTACATGCATTTTAATCATAAACACACAAAGTGAAGAGAGACTATTAGATGGGTCTGTAGGCTCAGTGAGTTCACTATGGGCCAGACTTTTGCTGGAATGCTATTTATTACCTCAGTTCAGAAGGTTCTGGCTGGGAGGTTGGTTCTTTTGCTTCACAGAACTGCCAACTGGGATCTTTCTCTTAGTTGCATTCATTTAGTAGCTACACTGTTTCAAGACCTTGCTTACATATCTGATGCCTTGGTGCTCTTCCATGTGGCCTTTGTTTATCCATGAGGTTAGTGGGCTTCCTCACAACACTGGTGGTCTTAGGACACTTGAATCTTAGAAGTTACACATCCTTACTTCTTTTGATGAGACCAAATCACAGGACCAACCAGGTCCACGGGGAAGGCATGTAAGATTACAATTTTTGATGGGGGGTGGGGGCAAGGAGTGATAAGGTCCTATTGCAAAACAGCCTATAGGATAAGAAATACCATTGTAGCCATCTTTGGAAATACAGTTTACCATATCACTACTCTGTCTGCTGTCTTCATGAATTTTATAGACCTTCCTCATTTGTTAGGGTTTTTCCTTTGAACTTATCCTTTATCTATACATAAAAATCTAATTCACTCCCATTTTCTCAAGGATTTACAGACGTGTGGTCATTGACTCCATCATGGTTAATTGCTGCTTGTAATTTTTGGAATCAAAGATTATTGCTGTTTTACTTAGTGGCTCCATGTTTTCTTAGTAATCCATTAAAATAGAAGTTGTCTGAGGTCTGTGTTTGGGAGCAGTCTGTCCTGGTATAAAGTCATTGTTCTTAGGAGAAAATAAGGAGGTACGTTTTATATAGGAAAATTTAAGGTTGTTTATAGTCACTGTGCACCAAAATTCTGCATAAGTGGTAAAGTACACCATTCTGTCAGGACTTTGGACTGCTCCCACATTCTCCCTTTAATCTGTCTCTCTTCTTAGCTGAGGTTATACTATATTATCCTCAGACTTTCAATAGCTAGTTATCTGAGGGCTGGAGAGAGGTGCCCTTCCTTGTTCACAGAGTGAGCAGTAGGGTTGTCCCACTGGACTATTTATTGTTTGTTTATTTGTTGATTAATAATCACTTTGAACCTCTTTAGAAAGAGATTTTTTTAGAAAGTCATATTTAGTAAGAATGTTGACAAACTGGGTCATGTCTACAGGAGGTCAGCCAGGGTACTTTTAAAGATTTGGAACCTGCAGGGGCGCCTGGGTGGCTCAGTGAGTTGAGTGCTAGACTCTTGATTTTGACTCAGGTCTTGATCCCAAGGTTGTGGAATCGGGCCCCGTGTCGGACTCTGCACTGAGTATGGAGCCTGCTTGAGATTCTCTCTCTCTTTCCCTCTGTCCCTCTCCCCTGCTTGCTCTCTCTCTGCCTAAAATTTAAAAAAAAAAAACAAAAACTGGAATCTGCCAATACTGAAACTGCATTATCTGGAGAAAATAATAATTATAATACTTCAGATGATACAATAGTTCCTTTTGAATAGTTGGATGTCATTGAGCAAGAAGGGTTACATCTGTTTAGAAATGAAATAGACTTTCATATGAAATAATGAGTTTTTGATTTCTGGCATTGTGTGAGTACAGGCTGTCTGTCCTACTGAAGGGGGAGGGAGGTTCCTGTATGAGTAGAGGTAACTCTTCTCTTATCTTTTCAGATTTATTTTAATTCAGATTTTATTAGTCTTCCTATAGTTAACGGTTCTGTCATAAATGGTTGCTTAAAATCACAATTGTGGGGTGTTAAGATATCTTGAAAGATATATTTGAAAAATAATCTAATTTTTTTTTTTTTCTGTTCACCAGGATTTAAATACTATTTATTCTTATCTTCATGGAATGGAAATACTATCAAATCTCAGGGAACATCAGCTTAGGTAAGTGCGATGCTGTGCTTTAAAAGCTTGTGCTATGGAGTTATTCAAATGAGTTTGGATAGATCATTGTAGGGGCCGCATGATTTGGGGGCTTTTTTAGGATAAGCATAGAAATTTCTGCTTTCTCATCACAGTTTTTCTTAACTATGGAACCTTGAGCAAATCTTAACATGTAAGCTATAGTTTTGTCTTCTGTAAAATAGGGACGATAAGATTATCTTTGTTACAGTGTTTTGAGGGTAACATGAGAATAACTACCTGAAGCAGAGCATAGTGTTCAGTATTTGCTAGCCAGTGAAAACAAAGCTGTTTACTTTCTGTAGTTCTTTTTGATATTTATTAGGTCATATGTTTAGGATAGGCAAAGTATGATGTAGTGTATGAAAGTGGACGGATCAGGACTCTCGACTTGGTATGAGCCCCTGTGAACAGGACCCATAAACTTTCTGAACCTTATTTTCCTACTCTGTAAAATAAATTTTCTGTCCTGCTACCTTATGTCGTTATATTTATAAAAACACTTCTGAGTTTTGCAAAGCACTTAACTTCGCATATCAAAATTTAGAGTGTGTTTTCCTTCCATGACCAGCTTATCCATTACTTTTTCTGATCATTCTTTAAGTTTCTGTTTAAGGGCCAGATTAGATTGCTAAAATATAATTGTTAGAGTTTATTTTCTTTCTTTCTTTCTTTCTTTCTTTCTTTCTTTCTTTCTTTCTTTCTTTCTTTCTTTCCTCTCTTTCTCTCTTTCTCTCTTTCTCTCTTTCTCTCTCTCTCTCTCTCTCTCCCTTTCTCCCTTTCTCCCTTTCTCTCTTTCTCCCTTTCTTTCTTTCTTTCTTTCTTTCTTTCTTTCTTTCTTTCTTTCTTTCTTTCTTTCTTTCTTTCTTTCTTTCTTTCTTTCTTTACTGTTTATTTATTTTGAGACAGATTGAGAGACCGAGTGTAAGGAGGGGAAGGAGCAGAGAGAGAGAGAGAATCCCAAGGAGCCTCCACACTGTTAGTGCAGAGCCCGAGATCTAATCCCAAGGAGCCTGTACACTGTTAGTGCAGAGCCCGAGATGTCACAGACTGAGATCATGACCTGAGTGGAAGTCAACCATGACCTGAGCTGATGCTTAACCAACTGAGCCACCCAGGTGCCCCTGGGTTTATTATTGTCTATTTTATGTATAACGTAATTCAGATGTCAGCATATGTATGGAAGAAGCGTGCTGAAAACTAGAGCATTTAGTAACACTAAAAGCATTTTTAATGAATTTTTGTAATGTTTATGTATTCAACAGACTTTGTGTGTATGCTTCTGCCAGTAATTTCTTTTATTTTTATTTTTAAGATAGAGAGAGCATGAAGGGGTGAGAGGGGGGCAGATAGAAAGAGAGAATGTCAGGCTTGGAGCCCAGTGCAGGGGGTTTGATCCCATGACCCTGACCTGAGCCAAAATTAAGAGTGAGACACTCAACCGACTGACCCACCCAGGCGCCCCTCTACCAGTAATTTCTTTCTTTCTTTTAATTTTTTTTAATGTGTATTTATTTTTGAGAGAGAGAGGGAGAGGCAGAGTGTGAGCGTGGGAGGAACAGAGAGAGAGTGAGACACAGAATCTGAAGCTGGCTCCAGGCTCTGAACTGTCTGCACAGAGTCCAACGTGAGGCTCGAACTCACGAGCTCTGAGATCATGACCCGAGCTGTAGTTGGACGCTTAACTGACTGAGCCACCCAGGTGCCCCACTTCTACCAGTAATTTCTTAACATGATTCAGTAGTGAATCAGACAAATGTGTATTTTTCCATAATAGAAAAGGAAAATTATGCAGTGTGAATTGGCAGGTTATAGAATATACATAAGAGATTTTATTTGTTGCCACTTAATATTATCCAATGGATGTTTTCGAAAATACTGCATTTGATGTCCCTATTTCTAAATTCTTGTAGTTGAGTGAAGAAGTTAGTGGTAGATACGATCATTGTCTACTGAAGTATACAATTATAACACTATTTTTAAAACAAAATTGAAGATAAAATAGTTTTAAATTTTTGACTTTTTTTTTAATATGTTAGATTAATGTCTGCAAGAGCACGCTATGAGAGATACAGTGGCAATCAAATTCTGTTTTGGTAAGTATTTTCTTAACTAACTTAAACTAATAGCTTTAATGTTCAAATTTTGACTTTTAGCATTGAAATTCATTTGATTCGGAAGGAATTTATTTACAGCAGATTGTAATATATTCATACACTGAAATAGAAGGTGCATGAAATGTTTACAGTGCAGTGAAGTTTAATAAATACATATAATATTATGTATTAATAACTAATACGCAACTGAACATAGAGAACATATCTGCTCTCCCGAGGCTCTAGTCAGCTCTCTTAGAAAGGTAATCCATTTCTGACTTACAGCACCATAAATTAGTTTTACCTCTTTTTGAAGTCCACTTAGATAAAAATATTTGGGTCAGGCTTTTTTTACTTGACACATGTCTAAGATTTTTCCATGTTTTTACTTTAGTCTTTTTGCACTGCTTTGCACCCTGTGTGAAAATAACACAATTCGTTTATCCTGTCCACTGTTGATAGATATTAGGGTTGTTTCCAGTTTTTTCCTTTTGTAGATAGTAAGGTTTGTATGAGCATTTTGTTCATGTCTTTTTGTGCTTTTATATACTCATTCCTGAACATTTGAGGGCATATTCTTAGGAATAGAATTATAGGAAATGTGTGTGACCAAATTTAGGAGAATCTGACTTTAGAATCTGACTCACATACTTCATTTTATTATCTCATTATGATTTTATTTTACATTTCCATGCTTATTAATAATGAATGATTTTCATGTTTTTGTAGGCTATTTTGATAGCCCTTTTATGAAACCTGATTTGAATTTTTAACTATTTTTCAATTGGGTTTTCTGTAGTTTTTCTGTCAATTAGTAGAAATTGTTTATAAATTCCATATCCTTGTCCCTTGTTGGGATACTTCTATTTCTTGGATCTTCTCCTACTCTGTGGCTTGCCTTTTCACTTTGCCAAAGGCATCTTTTGAAGAGTAGAAATTTCTGACTAATTTTTCTAATTCTGGCTAGTTTTTCTCTTGTGATTAATGCTTTTCATGTCCTATTTAAAAAAGTCTTTCCCGTTCTCAAGATGATGAAACTATTTGTACCTGTTTTCCTTCTAAAAATTTTGGCAGTGGTGAGTTCTTTTATTATATAGATTCACCAGCTATTTTGAGATAGTATTGACTTTAATGTTTCATTACCAGCACCTCACATTTACCATTTTTAAAGCATTAAACTGGATTCATAGGAATTTTAATAGCTATTTTCATCCATCTGTTGATCCATTTATTATTAAACGTTTTTCTGCTACGCTTTATGCTTACCTTGGTGTAGAATGGTGCAAAGACACAGTGTTTTTATTGAGTTTATTGTTTAGTCAAGTAGAGAAAATTAATTAAAAGTTACACATATTTAAGTGCTATCAAAAAAAGAAAAGTATAGATAAATAGATCAGTGGAAGAGAATTGAGAGGCCAGAAGTAAACCCTTGTAATTATGAACAGTTTGTTTTTAATGGCCTCCAAGTAAGATCTTTGCATATTGTGGCTATAATATGAGGATTAAAAAGGAACCAACCACCAATGTACAATTTATGATGAAGATGTTAAAGCATTTCAAGGAGGTCAGCATAGTTTTTTCAGGAAATAATGCTGTGTTGAATATTTATTTGCAAAAAGTTAATTTAGACCCTTACCTTACACTCTACAAAATTAACACAAAAAATTAATGAGATGTCACTCGTACAGAGCTGTTTGAATAGCTACATTAAAAAACGTAGACAGTACCAAGTGTTGGCACTGATATAGTAACACCTGGAATCCTCATATGTTAGTGGTATGGATGTTAAATGGTATAGCCATTGCAGAAAATAGTTTGACAGTTTCCCAGAAAGTCATACAGTTTTACCACTTGTCCCAGTAATTCTACTTTTACTTATTTATGCTAGAGAAATAAAAACACGTGCATACAAAGACTGTACACAGATGTTCTTAGTAGTACTATTTATATTTCCAGCTTAAAACTAGAAACAATCAAAATGTATCATGAATGGATAAATAAAATGTCATGTATCTGTATAATGGAATACTATTTGGCAATAAAAAAGGAATAAAGGCAACATGGATTTATAATGCAGCATGGATAAACCTCAAAAACATGCTAAGTGGAAGAAGCAAGACAGAACCTCCACATATTACATGATTCCATTTATATGAACTGTCCAGGAAAGGCAAATCTATGCAGAGAGCATACTATTGGTTAGGAAACAGAAGTGTTCTAAAACCGGATTGCGGTCATCTTTGCACATTTGTTTCAGTTTTCTTGCAAATTGAGTCATGCACTTCAAATGGGCGAATTTATGGTATTTAAATTTTGCCTTAGTAGAACTTTTATTTTTTAAGTTTATTTATTTTGAGAGAGAGAGACAGAGACCGAGTTGGGGAGGGGCAGAGAGAGGGAGAGGTAGAATCCAAAGCAGCCTCTGTGCTATCAGCCCAGAGGCCGACTCTGGGCTTGAGCTCGCAAACCGTGAGGTCTTGACCTGAGGCCAAGATCAAAAGTCACATGCCACCCAGGCACCACAGCACTATTTAAAAAATATGAAGAGTTATACAACTCTGTATCTGGTTAATAATAAGATAACTTGCAAAGAATGTGGAAGTTAACTGAAGAATTTAAATTCAGAGGTTGGTAAAGGCAGAGAAAAGAGTGTGTAGTTGATCTTAAGCAATATGGTAGAAAAAGTGAAAGTAAATCAGTGTGTGCAAGCACCTTGATGAAAGAAGAGGAAACAGCAAGAGAAGATTCTGGAGAATCAGGTGGAGGCCATCTGAAGCGTATTTTGGTCTTTATCTTAGGAGCATCTGAAGCCTTTGAAGATAGAAGATCTGACAACATTAAGTATGCCTTCCTTCCTTGGACTGGTTCATTCTTTGATTCCTTTGTTTGCCCAGAGGAAGGAGATAGAATGGCCGACACTATTTTACTTTGCTTGGGTTTACTTGTCCAAATGCATTACCACACCATGCTCTGAGTGAAATTTTTTGTAAGGTCTAAACCGTTTCTTATTCATGGGTTGGCATGGTTCTCTTTGTGGTAGGAGTGAAATTCAGGATTTTCTGCATTTATAATAGAATTAATTGATAACTTTGTGACCACTTTAGCTAAGTGAGATAAAAATTGGAGGCTTGTGGTGGCATCCAATTATAACTTAGTTCTGTCTTAATTTTGGGCAGATTGTTTTTTGATTTTATTCTTTCTTGACTTTGTAAGTCCTCTTTCACAAGAGTAAGGAAGTAGAATTTTAAGCAAGGAACCTTAACTAGGAAATTTGCAGCCATCTACATTTTCCCTCAATGAAGATTTGAAGAAATTAAAAAGAATTTTGAAGTGTCTCCTGGAAAGTTGACAAGAATTTTCCCTTCTCATGGTGAGCATTAGGATTGACATAGAAAGCTTACCCTGAGTGCTGTGTGGAATGTTTTGGAAGCCTAGGTTTCTGGATGGAGAAGAGCAGTGTTCACTGAGGACAGAGAATACTACAAAAAATAGAAGCTTGAAGGAAATAATAGGTAGATTTTGTTGAGTTGGAGTTCTCTGTTAGACGTTCAAGTTTACATGTCAAGTAGATAGCTAGATAAATAGTTCTCCATGTCAGAGGAAAGATTTGTTTTATAGATACTAAAATTTCCTACAGATTGGAATTAATTAAAACCTTAGGTATGGTAAATAAAGATATTTGAGAGGACAGAAAGATAAGTTTATACACTAAGATCTAACAAGATGCTGGGTTTCCATTAGATATTTAACTAAAATGTTGAGAGACTTGAGTCATCTGGTATTCTTTTATCCCTGAAACACATATAAAAGGTATTTTGTTTGTGTATGTCAGAATAAAATTTAAAAGAAATAAATAGATTATGGTTCACTTTTTAGTTGAGTGAAGATACAATATTGATGAAGTGGTCAATTCCAAATATTGTCTTTAATATACATAAGTTATTAGTATAGGATTTTATGATATGCATGTGTAGTACAGAATTTTAAGTTTTCATATTCATCAAATGTTATCCACTACACAAAATTGGAAAATGATGCTAATGATCAAATTAATAAGATTGAGCTAGTAAACATATTCTTCTGAAGTCTGTATCTTAAGATAGTGATTACACTTTTTCCCACGTGAACATAGTCTTATAAGTTGGTACATTTTTTAGCAACAGGCACTATTTCCCAAAATTCCATTAATTTTTAATTTGTGAGATTAGAATATATTTCATGTTAGGTATTTTGTATTGAATCCATGTAACAGGTGAAATGTGTATGTTTACTTACTCATTAACTTACTTACTTGAACAGTTCAGAAACTGTTGCCCGATGTTGGTATATCCTGCTTTCTGGATCTGTGCTTATGAAAGACTCCATGGTCTTGCCTCCTTGCAGGTATGTGTACATTTGCTGCTTAGAATATATGGCAGGCAACGTTAACATTACAACTTTTTATCTCTCATGTTAAACTGTTTTACGTAGGATGTGTAATTTTTCTAAGTAGGTGATGTATCTTATAAATGTGTTTACTTGCTGGTTCTGTAGGAAATAGTAGCAAGCAACCTGTATTTCTTATTTCTGAGGGTGTACTCTTTATGTCTTGACATCGTATCTTCACTTTGACTTGATCTTCAGTTTTATATGGAATTTGTTTGATTTATCTGATGGGTTTGGATTTGTTGCTAATATTAATGGTTACAGGGAGGGTGATACCTGTTAATAGCTAAGAAAATGGTTTTTAGAGTCAGGCAAACTAGGTTAAAGTCCTGATTTATCATTTACTATTTATATGATTTTGTACATATTTTAGTTTCCTTGTCTGTAAAGTGAGTATAATAATAGCACCTACTTTAAGTGTCTCTTTGAGGTTTTTAGCAAGCTCTGCTACTCAAAGTTCTGAACAGAAGTCTGTAAACATTGACCTCCAGAGCCAGACTGCTTGAGTTCATGTCTGTGTTCTACTATTTCTTGGGCAAATTATGTAATCACTCCCCATTTGTAAAATGGGGACAATACTAGAACCTATTTCATAGGTTACTTTTGAGGAATAAATGACTTAATATATATAAAGCTCTTAGGCTAGTGCCTGGCTTTTATAAATCATTGTTAATTATCATCATCATAATTAATAGGTAAAAGAAGAGAAAGGTGGTTGGAAAAATGGTCACATGGGGTGTTCTTCTAGAATTTGTTCTGTTAGTTCTTAAGATTTGGGGGCTTCATATTAAAATTTGGTGACATTAGGGCACCTGGGTGGCTCCTGTGTCGAGCACTAGGTCGGGCCCTGCTCTGAGTGTGGAGCCTGCTTGAGATTCTCTACCTCTCTCTCCTGCTCATGCGCTCTCTCTTAAAATAATTGGTGGCATAAAAATGTAATTTTTTAGTGACTTTTTTCCAATAATGTTTAGAAGAGATTTTTAGACTTTTGAGGTAAGACTTTTAATTGTAGCTGTTAGTTACAAAACTGTTAAATTTAAATATCAAGGTATAGTCTATTTGATAGATGCTATGAATCATTTGATTTTTTTTTTTTTTGGCATTTATTTATTTTTGAGACAGAGACAGAGCATGAGTGGGGGAGGGGCACAGAGATTGGGAGGGAGACACAGAATCTGAAACAGTCTCCAGGCTCTGAGTTGTCAGCACAAAGCCTGACGTGGGCTCAAACTCACGGAGTGCGAGATCATGACCTGAGCGGAAGTCGGATGCTTAACCAACTGAGCCACCTAGGCACCCCAGTGATTTTTGATGCCACTTTTAAATTCCTGTCTTGGAGTCCTGAAACTTTACATGGTTGCCTTTTGATTTAATGAAGTCTGTGCTTCTTGAACCAGTAGAACCAATAGAATAAAACAAAGCATCTGCTATTTTAACAAATAAAATGCAGAGTCGTTCTTGGTTATTTAAGCCTTTTGGCTATTGTTTCTTTTTCCCTGTGTTTCTGAGATTCACATTAATGAATTTGTAATGAGTTAGCCACTGAAACAGGATAAGCTGGAATGATAGAGATTACAGTTAAGTTTTTGGAATATTAGTATTGTTCTTTTAAATATTTCCTCCCTTTTGTCTGCTGTGATGAATGGTCAAGAATTTGTTAAGACTTGGGGCGCCTGGGTGGCGCAGTCGGTTAAGCGTCCGACTTCAGCCAGGTCACGATCTCGCGGTTCGTGAGTTCGAGCCCCGCGTTAGGCTCTGGGCTGATGGCTCGGATCCTGGAGCCTGTTTCCGATTCTGTGTCTCCCTCTCTCTCTGCCCCTCCCCCATTCATGCTCTGTCTCTCTCTGTCCCAAAAATAAATAAAAACGTTGAAAAGAAAAAAAAAATTTAAAGGAATTTGTTAAGACTTTCTGTAGCCATTAATCAGCCACAATAACTCACCGTTATTTATATCAAGACAAGGAAGTATGGGGTGCCTAGGTGGCTCTGTTGGTTAAGCAGTTAATCGTTCAACTTTTGATATTGGCTCAGGTCATGATCTCGTTTTGTGAGATCAATCCCCACATCAGTATTCTTTCTCTACTTCTCTTTCTCTGCCTCTTCCCTGAGCAAACGTGTACTCTTTCCTTCTCAAAAAAAAAAAAAAATAAATAAACATTAAAAAAAGACAACAAAGCTTAATTTTTTAATAATAGAAATGGGGATGCCTGGGTGGCTCAGTCAGTTAAGTGTCCAACTCTTGGTTTAGGCTCAGGTCATGATCTCAAGTTTCATGAGTTTGAGTTCTGCACTGACAGCATGGAGCCTGCTTGGGATTCTCTCTTTCTCCCTCTCTCTCTCTGCCCCTTCCCTGCTCTTGCGCTCTCTCTCTCTCTCTCAAAAATAAACACTAAAAAAAAAATAAGTGACAGAAATGTGTGACATTTAAACAACAAACTCATGGTACATTAATCTAACCATCATGAACTTCACAATAAACATTATAGAAGTTTCTTTAATCATTTAAAGGACAGTTCTGGGGACACCTGGCTTGCTCATTTAATAGAGCATGCAGCTCTTGATCTCAGGGTCATGAGTTCGAGCCCCATATTAGGTGTAGAAATTACTTAGAAAAATAAAATTTAAAAAAATAAACATTTCCGGGTAGGGGATGCACATTTTTCATTTGACACATATTTTTTTTTTAGGTTTTTTTTAAAGCTTTATTTATTTTGAGAGGTTGGGGAGGAGAGGATCCCAAGCAGGCTCCACACTGTCAGTGCAGAGCCCATTGCAGGGTTTGAACCCATGAACTGTGAAATCATGACCTGAGCCTAAATGAAGAGTTGGATGCTTAACTTACTGAGCCACTGAGACGCCCCTGACACATATTTGTAATAGGTCATTGTAGGGTGGTTGTTAGACTTAATAATCAGTGCAGATAAATTTAGAACATGCTTAGCATATATGAAGTATTAAGTAATTTTTGGCTTCTCAATATTATTATAGCATAGTAACATTGGGATATAGTTATTATGACACGAACAGAATATGAACACTGCTTAGTATACGAAGAATGATAGTAGTATTTTAGTTCATAAAAGTATAGCTTATTCTATTAAAAATATTTGATATTCCCTGCATTAGTCAGGAGACAGAAACCACACAGTAATTCGAACATGGACAGTTTAATTTAAGAGATTAGGCACTAAGAAGGGTAAAGGAGCTAAGAGAGGGTACCCAGGTAAAGAACAAATTTGGCAGGGGGGCCCTCTCCCCATGATTTCAGATTTTGTTGGAAGTATGTTAGTTGTAGCCCCAGTAGGTAATGGAGAACTTCACTGGGTTGCCTGTGCCAGACCTCGTCCTCAGTCATAGGGTCAGGGCTGGCAGGAAGGGAACTGCTGACCAGGACTGACCAGAGAACTTCCCCTCCCCCTGCTAGGGTGTGGTTGGGCCCTGAGGCTGGGGACAGGACCTCCTTTGCCTTGACACACGCACACACTGGTGCACTTCTCCCTTCCCTTCCCCTTGAGAAAGACAAATTTTCTATTGCATTGTTTTTCTGCTAGCACCCTCTACTGACAAAGCTTTAGCATTTTCAGCTGGCAGAAGGATAGCGTTAACTGAATCTAGATCCTTTATTGGAAAGTAGATTTGAAACAGCATGAATGTATTTCCAGTTGAAAGGCAGTGGATAACTGGCACAGTCCACTCTGAGTTCCTTAGCTTCTACATGGATGCTTCTAAACAAATTTGAACTCCCATCCAACAACAAAACAACTCTGTTGTCACCTTAAAAGATACAGCTGTCTTTTGTACCAGTGAAGAATTTCTTACTTTGTCCCTAAAATAAGGAATTGCACAGTCCTAACAATCATTACTGGTTATATTAATTATATAGTGCATCACAGTGCTTTTGAAAATTCTGTTAACCAAAGACTAAAGTTCGCTTCCACCAAACTATACTTAAAATAAATAAGGGAAACAGAGGGAAGAAGAAAATGGTTAACATTTACATAAATACAGACATAAATGCAATAAACAAAGGAAAAAATATCCTATATTTTTTATTTCTGTGATTGGTCACATGGCTGTAATTGGTACCTCTGGCTTCCTTCTTTAGCTACCCATTCAGTACTTCTGCCCTAAGCCAGACGTTCATCCGTTCTGCATCCTTTACCTGATGATGTTAACAAAATCTTCATTTCTGACGGGTCCTTAAATGTCCTGCTCTGTTGTGTTGGTGGTGGTAGTTTTCCATAAACTTTGAATAGTGGACATGGCAGTACAAGGAGCCTAAGGGAATCCCCCCATTTTGTGCAGCAACTCAGTTTGTGCTTGTGATTGTGATCAATTACTCAGGCCTTTAGAGTAACCCCTTCCCCTGCCTGTTGGTTCATTGGCCAGGTGAAAGTATCTAATTCAGTGGAACCTTTGTGTTTCCTCATAGAAGCAATCTTCTTTTGGGCACTAGGACTCAAAACCAGAACAAAGTTTTTTGGATGGGCAGCAAAAATTCTGAATGAGTTACTAGGTATAGTAGTGAGAAGAGCCGCTCTTACTTCCATGCCTTGAATATCAGATCTGTGTATTCTGGTTATTGGGGGAGACAGAAACCCTTGCTGTACATAGGCTGTTGCAAAATGAGTGCCTTGATCAAAAATAGTGTTGTCTAGAGTGCCAGGATGGTAGAGCAGGCATTTTGTGAGCCCATGGATAGTGGTGCTGGCAGAAGCATTATGGATGTGGAAGGTAGATCATTTCCAGAATATGTGTTTATTCCAATGAGGACAAATACCTGCCTCTTCCATCACAGAAAAAGTTCACTGTAAATAATCTGGCCCTAGGTGGCTGGCTGGTCCCCATAAGGAGACTTTCTGTTAATCTCTCATGGTGGCAGATTAGGTTCCTAGCAGTAGCATTAGCAGTTAAACCCTGCATATTCTCCATCTCTGCCACCATGGCCACTTTATTCA